CTCGTTTCTCTCATTTTGCCTAGGTGCCCTTTCGGGTTTTCATCTCAGCTTCCCACATTTTTCTATTTTAATCCTCTCAAGTCACTCTTATTGTTGTTTTATTTTCGCTTAAGTTGCCCTTTCAGATTTTCAACTTAACAAGCTTTTATTAATTTTTTTAAACAAGAATAAAGAGTATGAATGTGAGTATTCCATAAAACGCTTCTCCCAAGCTAACCAAAGCACTGTTCCTAGTGCTCATCGTCATAGAAGATGAACACTTTTTATGGTGTCATTTCTTTCTTTGTTGGTTGAGCAAAAATTTTGACTTCGTGTAGGTGGAGTTAGGGAATTCGGATTTCTTTTGGAGATGGATTTGGGTGGGATTTTTGGGTAGAAAATGGAAGAGGGTGTTGAGGAGAAGAAGAAAATGTGTTTAAGTGATGGATTTGGTGGAGAAATGGGGGGAATTGAAGGTTTGAGGTGCGAAAATGGAGGTTTTGAGAGGTGTGGTCCGTATGGGGGAGAGGAGAAATGGGGAAGAAAGAGGATTTCCCAACCCTTTTGCTGTCAAAACCCGATGACCCGGCGGGGTGGGGTACGTGACCCGGTCGAGAGTTCTTCATTTTTTAAAAAAAATTGACCTCTTACCCGGACGGGTTTTCGTTCCAGATGGTTCAAAGGTAAAAACGCCCGACTGGGTGGTGTAGCAGACCCGGTCGGGTGTTTTGATTTTTTCTCTTCCAGAACTGCCTCGCCCGAGTGATTGGGCCTGGTGATGTGTTTTATGAATGGACCCGACGGGGTTCAATCCCCAGGTCATTTTTTTTTGAAATGTGCAAAAATAAAACAAAACAAGTAAACGTACCTTGCATGGGTTGCCTCCCAAGAAGCACCTCATTTAACATCACGACACGACGCTATCATTGTGCTCAGTCATTCAAACTTGGATCATGATAGTTTATCTTCTTCATACTTTCACTCCTATGACTTCCATAGGAGTGCTCAATTTCTCAACTCTTCACTTTGGAAATCTTTCCAGGATCAAATATCCAGATTTTCATTTATTCATGTGGTGGGAGGAAAGGGAAGAAATTATCGTTTAGTATGGTCAATGAAAAGTTTTTCAATCCCTCAATTTTGAAGAAGATTTCAAAAATGTCATTGTCCTTTCCAACTTTACGAGTTTCACTTAAAGCTTCCAGAGATGATGGAGATACCTCAAAGGATGACAAGGACTAAAATTGGATTTGAAGCTCAGCTTATCGTCTTCTTTAACCAATTGGAGTTCCGTGTCTTTTTCTTCCTCTACTTCTTCTGGATTCTGGATCTCCTTTTGCATTTCCTTTTCATTTGTCAATGTGATTGCAAAAGTTTGTTGTTTAGGATCACATTCTATTTGAGAAGAAAGTTTTTCCGAATCCCTTGTTTCAAGCCTATTCACGGCTCCGGCTATTTGACTCACTTGAGTTTCCAAGTTTAAAATACTAGACTTGGTCTTATTTTGAAATTGCACCATGTTTTGTTGCATGGTGGTCACACTGTTAGTAAGAGCCCGAACCATGTCCTCCGTGGACATATTAGAGTTGGAGAATGGATCATACCTCATGTGAGGTACATAATCAATTTGTGCAAGGTATTCTTCTTGTAGCTTTGGGCAAAAATCCGTAATATGCCTGTGAGACATGCAAATATTGCAGGTCTTGGCATCTTGAGTTTCTTAACTTAAGATAAACTCTTTTATGAGAGAAGCCAAAAACGGAAATTTGACTATCTAAGGATGATGTGTTGGTTTCCATATACTCATGTAAGCTCAGAAATAGAAAAGATTATTTTTTTTAATTTTTTTTATATTTTTATTTGAAATAAAATAAAAAGAAAAATAATTGCCTTTCCCCGGCAACGGCGCCAAATTTGACGGGTACTTTGTCACAGTGCGTCAAAATAAATTCAATACTAGCACTAATACGTAGTATAGGTGAAGTAAAGTTCGTATCCACAGGGAAAGGAATAATTCTCTTTTTATGAAACTAGTAAATAAAAGGGGGGTTTTGGGATTGAATGATTTAATTTAAAAACTAAGATGAACAACATTTATGTGTTTTAATTCAAAGATAAAAGAACTTGGCATTGCTACTTTCCACTTGTTGATATATTTTAGTCGATCATTGTTATATCTATAACTTATTCCCTCTCGAATACTCAATCGAGGAGTATATCCAATTCATCGAGGGTAGTTATTAACGACCGTTCATTAATAACCCTTACTATTAGTCAAGTATAGAACACCGCCATATACCGACTTGATAGTAGCATTTAATCTCTTAACTCCTTGATGAAATCAATTGAGATTGATAACCTCAACACAACGGTTTCGGTTTAACCAACAAAATTAATCCTTCTTAAGTTTATCAACCACGACCGTGCATTAATAAACTGAAGTTACTTACTTGTGAAACCATCAACGATTAATCATCGGTTCGTCGATCGTTTCTAGTAATAATTAATATATGAAACAAAACTAGTTGATCCTTTAAGTAATGTTCAAAATATTAAAATGAAATATGAATAGAAATTAATTTATATTCAAGGAAGAATATTATTAAAGGAGATGAATCCTACTATAATTAATATCAAGATGTTAACTAATTGTCATCTTAGCAACACTCCCCAACATTAATATAGAGGAAGAAAATACTACTATAACTAATGTGAAGATGTTAGCTAATTGTCATCTTAGCAACACTCCCCAACATTAATATAGAGATAGTATTAAGGAAAGAACTAATAATTAATATTCAAGGGAAGAAGTTTAAGAAAAATAACTCACAACTTTAATAATCAACAAGCTTCAAGAGGAACACCATGAAATGGAAGTTTAGCTCCTCGTTTGGAGACTAAATATAGCTAGAAAAATATAGAGAAATACTATTCTAAACTGAGCTTAAGAGTATGGAAGAAGGAATGATTCTTTGTGAAGGAAAAGTGTGCTATTTATAGGTGTTTTTCAACACCTTGGGCCGGGTACCCGACCGGGTCAAGTGCTCACCCGACCGGGTCCGGTCAAAATCAGATAATCTTCCACGTTCTCGTGATCTTTGGGATGTTCTGGTGTTCCGGGTCAAGTCTGACCCGACCGGGTGGAATAGGGGACCCGACCGGGTCCAATGATACTCCAGGTACTTTCGGTTGTTAAATCAGACCCGACTGGGTGAAGTCTTCTACCCGGTCGGGTAATTGCTCCTGGACAGTCAAAACCCCTTTTTCGTCACTTCAAAGTCCTCCTCTTCAACACCATAATTCCTAATTCTACTTTACAACTTACAAATGAAGGGTAAAATACAATTACTACTAAAATCACACAAATGTTTACAAACTAAATAAAACGGTAAACAATACACACAAATCAAACATAAAAAGATACATTTATGCACTACTAATTAGTGCATATCAAATATTGATTCTCAGAACCATGTCCTTTTTCAATGTGCTAAATAATAGACTAGGGTTATTTATGTATTTTATACATTACTCTCTATTACTAAAGTTCGGCCAATCATTACTTTGTAACATTTAAGTCTCTTTCCCACCTCAATTACAATCATTACTTTCCAAAAGTAACTTTTTGGGGTAATAAACATCAATTTTCAAAAGTGCCTTTAATTAAATATATAAACCTTTTCATTTTCTATCCTGCAATAAACCTCAAACTAGGAATTATCTATATCTAGTTGGTCCAATAAAAGGTGAAATCTCCTACCTCAGGATCCCCACCTCGACCCGACAGGATAGTGGGGGAGTTAATCACGGTGACTCAGTCAGCAAAGCGGCGGTAGGCCTTATATACGTGCGCACAAGAGGTCCAGTCTTATTTCAGGTTCTGTAACCTCCACACGATCGTTGCGGATTTCGAACTTTGGTCACTTAATCTAATTTTCTCACCACTCGACCAACGCTACTTTATATAAAGATATGCTTTTGAATAGCTTTACTTAATATACCGCAGATGTAGCAACACGGCATAGCAAAAGTTGGTCTCTATTGGAAATTGGGCATAATGAAACAGTGATAGTGCGAAAAATTACCACGCTAGAAGCCTGGAATGAAATTAAACTTATAATGAAAAGTTAGTCACCAATCAAATTATATACGTAGTACATATTTGTTCACCCCCATTATCATCTGTATAGTTAATGGAGTATACTATGATATGTATCCAGGATTTTTTGCGAGAGGCAAATTTACACTATGAAAGTTGATATCACTATCAAAAAAAATACGTCATTGGGTCGGATTTTGGCACCTTCACAAAAATCCCAGACTATCGTTGTTGGTACGGATTAGGCACGGATATGGAATCTGACGCACCTAGCTCGTGCCAAATGCTTTGGCACGGGAAAAAATATCCGCGCCAACTCTTGGCACGGCTTTGGGCACGGAATTTCAGAGACAACAACACCGTTTACTACCCCAAAAAATTTAGCTCGGATTTACCTTGGCTCGGATATTGGCCCGGAATAAACCGGGTTACCCAAATCTTTACCCGTTTGTTGGCTCGGATAAGGTCGTGCCAAATTTTTAACCGAAACCCGTTCGGGATTTTGGGACGGACGACATCCGTGCCAAATTTAATTTAAAAAAAAATAGTACACCGTACATATGTACGGTGTACAATTTTTTTCTTCAAATCATTATAAACAAAACATTTAACTGGGAAACATATAGAGCAAATGAAAGATAAACATTATAGAGCAAATGAAAGTGCACAAATTAACAGAAGATTATTTTGTTACAGCAGTCCAGGCAGATAAACCACTGCCAAAATAGAATTAGAAATGGCAAATAAATTGCCAGAAGATGTCCAGAAACAGTACAGAAAATTAAACAGTTTGTTCATTACACAAATAGATCAGAAATCTACACTTCATTCGAATCATGTAGCCCATTCATTTGGGCGGAGGTCGGGGTAAGAAAAGGAGAGAAATCAGGTAGCGGGACAGAAGGGTTCGAGCTTCGCACTTGCTCCATGTACGCCGTAAAAGCAGAAGTCATGTTCGCCATCTGAGTTTGCCACTGCTTTTCCTGCTGCGCAAACCGGGCTTCGAGCTGCTCCTTGATGCGGGAATCGATTTCTACTTGAGTCGGCCCCGATATCCTGCTGGTGCATTCAAGATCAGATAGTGCTTCAGCTTTAGATCCCTTCCCAAACCGCCTGCCTTTGTACAGCGGGACCATCGCGCAAAACAGCTCAGAATCATTCTCTTCGTAAGACTTCCCTTGTGATTCAGCCTGGGCTTTCATCTCATTGTATTTTTGCTGCACAATCAGAAGATAGGAGGTTCAAATATATTCATTCTAAATTACTAAGACATATACTTTATATATATATTAATAAGAAAACAAATCGATATATAGAATTTACCTTGGTTTCAACTACACGTGCTGGGGGGTCACCCGATTTCGGGACATAAACCTTGTCAAACACTTCAATCTTCAAGGGGGGCCTATTCAACTCCTTCGTCTACAGAATTAAAGATAGGAGATCAATAAAAGGTAAAATGCAGTTGAATACAGTTCAATTAAACTCACCAGCCTTTCAACATGCGTAGTCACCGGTATCCTACCACCGCGATATCGTGATTCCTTCCCAGCTTTAGAGTTCCTGTTCTTCTTTCCAACTTGGCTCTTTTTCTTAAAAGCATCAGAGGCCCAATATTCTTCCAACAGCTTCCAATCTCCATCTCCAATCCAGTCCGGCTTCTTGTTCTCCCGCCTAGCTCTGCCAATATTTTTGCCTAACCATTCAGAGGCCCGAGACTTGAACTTCTTTTTCATTTTGGTATCAAAGCAGAGATCCCACTCATACTTTCTCTGAAAATACAAAAAAGACTTCATCAACCTCATAACTCACAATCTGTCAAATAAAAACTAAAAGTAAGTACCTATAACAAACCTGAAACAGTTTCCACCAACGGTTGCATTGATCAGCGTCCGCATGCATATAAGAACGCCATGGCCCGTGGAAATTGTTAGTGAGGATTGAAATGATGTTGTTGAGGACAGTAGGATTGCTTCATCAAAAAAGAACATATAAGTGTAATGTATAGATACGAATTTATTATATAAAAAATGCCTTGTGAAATTTTACATTACCTTCTCATTTCAAAGGGTGAAATGAAAGTCTTTTGCTGAATAGATTCATCAGGGGTCGAAGAATCAAAACCACTTAAATGATCATCAGTAGGGTGTCGGGATTGGACAGACTCATGCGAATGACCTAGAGGGGATGATGGATAGTGTACCGGGGGGGGGGTAGCTTATCCGAGGGGTTATTGCGGAGAATAACTAGAGAGAAGTCAGAGCAAATAAGTAAGAGAGAGAGTGTATATTCGATATGTATTCAACGTGGTTTACAATGGGGGAAAGGGGTGCTATTTATAGTAGTAATAAATGCTAGATAAGGACACGTGTCAGTTTTCTGGTGGTAGAGGGGTCACCTCGACCGGGGTGGCACTGGCACTCGCATGTGGCCGCATTAAATGCGGTGGTTGGATGTGACGTTTGTACTTGGTACGATGATCCAGGCGCATGTGAAGAGGATATTCTGTCGAGGTGGATGCCTTTGGCTGAAGGGTGCTGGGACGAAGGCTCTTCTAACCGAGGGCTTCTACCTGCCAAGGGCAGCAGGTGCCGATGGCTTGGTTTTCAAGCCTTGTTCTCCTGTGATGTCTCTTCTAACCGAGGGCTCCTACCTGCCGAGGGCTGCAGTTTCCGAATGATTGGTTTTCAAGCCTTGTTCTCCTGTGATGTTTCTGAGCTCGATTCCGTCACTGGTAGCCTTCGGCCATGGGGCCGAAGGCACCCCTTTGCGTATTGTGGGCTGCTTAGAGCTCCATTTTGCTGGGCTTGGCCCGTTTGGGCTTATTGGGCCTGATTGTAGTAGAGGAAGTATGTGGGCCGGGGGTCCCTGGGCCATATACTCCATCAGGAGTCCCCCACTCCTTTTGCCGAAAGGTACTTGAGGGAAAAGGAGTAGCTGTGGTGATTGCCTCAAAGGCTTCCCTGTTCTGTTGGGTGCCTCATTTTCTCAATTCCCCCATATGTCGAGGGCTGAGAGCTTCCTGAAGGGAGTGTAAGTGTGTTGCTCGTGTAACACCGACCCCGAGCATATTTACTTTTAGTAAATTATGTAATAAACCTTGAAGAATGATTTAACAAATTGTGTGATTGTAAATTTTTACTATTTCTTTTACGTGCATAGTAAATTGCATGAAAAAGAAAGATGGAACACTTCGAATGTGCATTGACTATCGTCAACTGAACAAAGTCACAATCAAGAATAGGTATCCCTTGCCTAGGATTGATGACTTGTTTGATCAGCTCCGAGGAGCGACGGTGTTTTCGAAGATTGACTTGAGGTCGGGGTACCACCAACTGAAAATAAAGGAAGATGACATACCGAAGAGTGCATTCCGCACAAGGTATGGTCATTTCGAGTTCCTAGTTATGTCGTTCGGGCTAACCAACGCCCCGGCGGCATTTATGGACTTGATGAACCGGGTATTTCATAAATACTTGGGCCGGATTGTGATTGTGTTCATAGATGATATCTTGATTTACTCGAAGAGTGAAGAAGAGCATGAGGAGCACTTGATACTTGTTCTTGAGACACTACGGGAGAAGCAACTCTATGCCAAGTTTTCCAAATGTGAATTTTGGCTAAGGGAGATTGGCTTCCTCGGGCATGTGGTTTCGGGATCAGGGATTGCCATAGATAACAAGAAGATTGAGGCCATTACCGAATGGGAGAGGCCAAAGAACGTCAAGGAAATTCGTAGCTTCCTGGGATTGGCAGGGTACTACCGAAAATTTGTGGAGAAGTTCTCAGTTTTGACATCGCCATTGACAAAGCTCACACGAAAGGGGGCCAAGTTTGTATCGGATGACCGATGTGAGAAGGGATTCCTTGAACTGAAGAAGAGATTGACCAAGGCACCGGTACTCGCACTACCCAAGCAGGGTGTGGGGAACGATGTGTACAGCGACGCAAACATCCAAGGGCTTGGATGTGTCTTGATGCAGAATGGGAGGGTGATTGCCTATGCTTCACGACAGTTAGAGAAGCATGAGGTAAATTATCCCACCCATGACTTAGAGCTGGGGGCGGTGGTGTTCGCATTGAAGATTTGGAGACATTATCTCTACGGGGAAACATGTCATATATACACCGACCACAAAAGCCTGAAGTACGTGTTTACTCAAAAAGAGTTAAACATGAGACAGAGACGGTGGATGGAGTTGATAAAAGACTATCATCTAGTTATCGAGTACCACCCCGGTAAAGCCAACGTGGTAGCGGATGCCTTGAGCCGAAAGAATTCATCTGGGGCATTATTGACTAGCTTGAGGGCATTGAGAGCCCAATTGGAGGTATCTAGCGATGGTGCCTTGTTAGCTAGATTCGAGGTGAGACCTACATTACTTGATGAAATCAAGAAGGGTCAAGAAACCGACGAAGAACATATGAAGATCCGTGAATGCATGCTAGCGGGACCGGTTGAGGATTTCAGGGAGAGAGACGGTGGCCTCTTATTATTTCGTGACCGAGTGTGTGTACCGTTGGATGATGAGCTCCGAAAGTCCATCTTAGAGGAGGCTCATTCATCGGCGTATGCCATGCACCCGGGAGGCACGAAGATGTACCTTGATTTGAAGGAAAGTTACTGGTGGTCGGGTATGAAGAGGGAAATAGCCGAGTACATCAGTAGGTGTCTTACTTGTCAGCAAGTTAAGGCAGAACATCAGCATCCGGCTGGGTTACTACAGCCACTTTCCATTCCTGAATGGAAGTGGGAGCACGTGACTATGGATTTCGTGGTGGGGCTGCCACGGACGATTAAGAACTATGATGTCGTATGGGTTGTGGTCGATAGGCTCACAAAGAGTGCACACTTTCTACCTATCAACACCACCTATGCACTGGAGAGGTTAGCCAAGTTGTATGTGGATGAGATCGTGAGGCTACATGGGGTTCCTATAACCATTGTATCCGATAGAGATCCGCGATTCACATCACGATTTTGGCCGAAGTTCCAAGAATCTATGGGGACAAAGTTGAAATTCAGTACAGCTTTTCATCCACAAACGGATGGGCAATCTGAGCGGGTTATACAGATATTAGAGGATATGCTGAGAGCCTGTGCATTGGAGTTCCAAGGGAGTTGGGACAACCATTTGTCACTTGTGGAGTTTGCCTATAACAACAGTTATCAGGCAAGTATAGGCATGCCTCCATACGAGGCATTGTATGGGAGGAGATGTCGTACACCGTTGTGTTGGGATGATGTTGGCATGGCCAAACTCGAGAGCACAGAATTGGTGGAGATCACCAAGTCTAAGGTGAAGATGATTCGTGAGAGACTTAAGGCGGCCCAGGATAGACAGAAAAGTTATGCCGATAAGCGCCGAAGAGCCTTGGAGTTTAAGGTGGGAGATGAAGTATTTTTGAAAGTTTCACCCTGGAAGGGAATCATCCGATTTCAGAGCCGAGGGAAACTTAACCCACGATACATAGGGCCATTCATGGTTCTTGAGAGGATTGGGGCCGTGGCATACCGATTACAGTTGACTTCAGAATTGGAGAAGATACATAACGTATTCCACATGTCCATGCTCAAGAAGTATATGCCGGATCCATCTCATGTATTAGGAAAACCACCCGTGGAAATACGGGAAGACTTGAATTATGCCGTGCAACCGGTGAGAATACTTGACAGGCAAATCAAGAAATTGAGAAGCAAGAAAGTTCCAATGGTTAAAGTCCTTTGGAAAAGTGACCGAGTCGAGGAGGAAACTTGGGAAACGGAAGCTTTGATGAAAGAGCAATACGCGTTTTTGTTTGAATGAGCATTGTGAATTTCGGGGACGAAATTCCCGTTAAGGGGGGTGAACTTGTAACACCGACCCCGAGCATATTTACTTTTAGTAAATTATGTAATAAACCTTGAAGAATGATTTAAGAAATTGTGTGATTGTAAATTTTTACTATTTCTTTTACGTGCATAGTAAATTGCATGTGGGGCCCACAGCGGGAACGGGGACCGCCCGATAATTACCGAACCACACATTATATTCATCTTGGTCTAGATAATATGTATATGGTGGTGGATATTTTATTTGGGCCCTAAGAAAGGCATGGAGTTGACCGGTTGGTCAAACAGGGCCCAATTACCGGTATTGGTAATTTAGCGGATAACAGCCCGAAATGTGTTTCGGAGACTCCTAAATTAATGTTGGGGAATGTACATCTATTCTAAAAGCCCATAATTATTAGGAACACGTGATATATTTTATCCGGCCCGATAAAATAAAATATGACTAAAGTAGTCCGAAAAATACAACTTTCGGGGCCGATTATACACATCAGGACATAATGGGATGACCTCCCACGTGAGTGGGGGCCACCCCACGATTTT